TTTTCCCCTTAACATTCCATTGTATTTGGGTGAAATGGTATTCTTCTTGCCTTCATTTGATCTGGTGGTTCCCCAAACTCCTATTTCAGGCATTTACGTTCTCTCGGGATGGTTTACTTTCTCAGGTGATTAAATTCATCCATTCGTCATTAATATTAGTTTTACTGACAGAGAGTTGCCTTTTCAAGTCCTGCGTGTACCTTACTGATTGGCTTCACGTGCCAAACAAGGGACCCACTTCTCTTCTAATCATTATATCCTTGTATTTATTGTTATCACATCATCATCATCAAAACAACACTGTAAAAAGGGGCTTTTTTGTGTGTTAAAATAGAGTGATCATTTTAAAACTTAGATAATACTTGCCCCTTCTTATTAACTAATCCTTCAATGGTTTCCCATCCTAGTTGGAATAAAATCCAAACTCCTTACCATGGTGTCGTGGTCAGCGATCGGTATTGCCAGCCTGTCCTCCAGTCCCTACTCCCCTTCTTTTGGTTCAGCACCCTGAATTTTTTAGGGGGACCCACTTTTCTCACACTATTAGTGTACACTTCCGATGGAACAAATCCTCTCCCTAGCTCTGAAGTGGGTGCTTTCTCTAGGACTGGCCAGTCAGCAAGTCCCTTCCGCTGGCCACAGTGAATGGTTCAGGGAAAGATACATGTTCCAAGTTGGCCCGATGAGGATCAGGTCTGGACATGTTGCAGCAACCATCGGAAGACTAGTGCAGTCTTCCAGGCTGCTAAACTGCTAGAATATACAGCCGAATATTCTGTTCTCCACTCTCTGGTGACATTTATGCCACATCTTGCCTTCCTGGAAATGAAGCAAACCCAGAGGCAAACAGAGATAGGAGAGAGACACAGATGACCGGTGACACCATTTGAACTCATTTCTGTCTGCACTTGATCTTTTCAGAGACCTGAGTGGTCCCTTTTTTCCCTCAGGCCAGTTTAAATGGTATTCTTTGGAGTTTCCCTGGTGGCGCAGTGGTTGAGAATCCGCTTGCCGATGCAGGAGACACGGGTTCGTGCCCCGGTCCGGGAGGATCCCACATGCCGGGGAGTGGCTGGGCCCATGAGCCATGACTGCTGAGCCTGCGCGTCCGGACCCGGTGCCCCACGGGGGAAAAGGCAAAAAGGGCGGGGCCCCCCCGAACAAAAAAAAAAAAAAAAAAAAAAGGTATTCTTTGCATCCACAAAAGTCCAGACTATTCCCATGGCCTGAATGGTCTGACCCCCTGCCTACCTCCCCACCTCATCTTGGGCCCCATTCCCCCTTATTCTCCCTACATGACAGGTGTTCGGACCTTCTGTCAGTTCCTAGAAAAAGCCATGCTCTTTCCCACCTGAGTGACCTTGTTCTTACTGTTCTCTTTCCTCCAGATGTTCTCCAGGGCTCTTCCTCCACTTTCAGATCTCAGCTTCAGTGCTGCCTCCTCAGAGGCTTTCCTGACTGACGACTATAGACCAAACACGCAGCACACGCTCTCACACACTGGACTGCAAGTTCCCTGAGGGCAGGGGCCTCGCATGACTTGCCCAGTGTCGTTATCCCAGAGCCTGGCACTGTGCCTGACACACAGTAAAAGCTACCGAAATATTGGTGGGCACGTCCCTCAAGTGCTCCTTGACTTGTTCTGCTTTTCGCTCTGTCTATAATTCCCTTTCCTTCTTTCTTTGGATAATTGACTTCTTATATCAGTCTCAACCCAAATATCATCTTCTTGGAAAGACTGTCCCTGATCATAACGACTAAAATAGAGGTCCCCTCACCCCAATCCTCTATCATGTCACTCAGTTTCATTGTACTTACACCCTGAGATTATCTTTTAAAATTTTTCATCTATTTATTTACTTATTTTCTCTCTTCAACATAAGCTCCGTGAGGGCAGAGGTTGTGTTTGTCTCATTCAAAGCTTCATTCCCAGCACCTTCAGCAGTGCCCGGCTTACAGTTTCCCAACAAATACATATTGACTGACTGAATGAATGAAAGCCAAGCAGTCATTTGCGTGCTCTGCCTTATTTAATCCTCACAACAATCTTGTGAAATAAGCACTAGCCCAGTGCTAGTCTCATAGTACAGAGAAGAAAACTAAGTCTTACAGAGGCAATGTCATTTGCCCATAGTCACATAATCAGTAATTTGAGAAGCTGGAATTCAAATCCAGATGTGCACATTCTACAGATGACAATTCATCGTCTACCTCTCAAAATATCTGTTTTACTATTCCCAAGGTGGGTTTGGAGATTGCAGCTGGGCTCCAAGTAGAAAACTGGGATTCCTACTCCTGGCTGCCCCTCGCCCACGGAACTTATCATCCACAGGCAGAGCAGCTGGGCGGCTGGAGCTCCCGTACCCTCAGGTGTGTGGAGTGGGGCCTGCGTTGGGGGATTCAACACACACAAGGAAGCAGGAGAGTGCATGTTATTTTGTGGGCTTCCCAGCTCCAGGAGAGAGAGCCAAGAAAGGGCTGACCTGGGTTCACACTCAACCTTTCCCCCAGACTCAGAATCAGATCAGGCTCTCTTCCCAAGGGGCTGGGGTCAGGGGAAGGGAGGGAGTGAGGGGTCTAAGAGAGAAAGGCGGAACTCTTTTCCTAATGCTTCCAAGAGGGCCAAAGTTCCTGTTTTACGGATGGAGGCAATAACACAGAGAGAGAGAACATTTGCCCCACTCAGCCCACCATTATAAAAGAAAACCCTGCAATTTCCAATTGAAGTTGGAGATGGGGTGAGGGGTCGGGGTGGGTGGGATGGGGAGGAATATTGTCTACATTAACAGTATTGAGGCTCAGCTCAGCCACAGCTCATTTAATCATATTGCTTCTAAAAATTGGCTCAGCACCTCTGTACTACCTTTCCAGTCAAGTTTAAACCTCTTCTCAGGACAAGGCCTTTCACTCCTGGCCCCTCTGCAGTCTCATCTGTTCCCCGGCACCTCCCACTGCTAGTGCCCCTGGAGAAGCCATTACGAACGTCTCATAATTCTTCACGTCTCCAGGTTTCTGTAAACGTTATTTCTCCTCTACCTGGCTGTTTCTTATACTGTACATCCTATATGCTTTCAAGAGTAGGCGGCTGACCGTGAACGGCTTGAAGGCGGAATAGGTTGTGCTCATCTCTGTATCCCTGGGCCTCTCAGAGTGGCTGCCCTCAATGAACACCGAAGTGTCAGCTCAAAGGCAACCTTTCTAGAATCCTTCCTGCTGCCTCTAGTTTGTGCTGAGGGGTCTCCTTCTTGCTCCCAAAGCACTTTAGCTCCTCTGTAATTATCCTTCAAATGCTACACTTTAAATGTTGTTTTTCTGGGGAAAGGGATGTGACTTGTGCCTCACCACACCCCGAGTGTTAAGCCACAGTACCTGGCACATAGTAGGTGCTCGATAAATTAATTTTGAATGAAACGTCTTCTGAATGTCCAATATGGAAAGCGCTGTGCGAGGCACTATTACAGGGATATAAAGTTGTATCTCTGATCCTGGGGGGAAATGTTCACATATATGTTGTACAAGGCACTGTGAAATAACTTGAGGACAATGCTATAGAAATTTAAGAGGAATATTTCTGACTTGCTTAGGGTAGAAATTTTTACACACCCTCCCTTCTACCTGGAAATGGACTCTTATCTGTTAACTATTTTCTTAATGGTCTTAGAAGTATCTTTTGTGTGTCATTTTGAAAGTAGGTGGGGCGTACATAATAAAGAAAGAAAATAATACCCAGGTGACAGGTGTGAAGGGCCTCTGGTTGTGAGTTCAACACCACCTGAGAAGTTTGACTTGGGGTAAAGGGGTGTCTTTAGAGACAGCGGGTTACCCTTTAGAGACAGCGGGCTTTAGATTCTATACTGAATGAAAGCAGAGGGTGAGTCCTGGAAGTGGGTGAGTGAAAGTGGTAACCAAAATGGGTGCTTCCCAAGTCTCTTTGTTAGCCTCTGGGGCCAGGTCCACCATCTGCTCCCAGGACCCCCAGGGCTGCTGGGCACCTCCTGAGAGGAAGAGAAATGGAATACTCACGAGTGCTGGAATGTAGGACCAAGAAATCATCCAAACCAGTAAACAGAATAGCCAAATTATCTCCTTTCCCACTGGGAGCATTTGGTCTAACTTCTGATTTGTGCCTAGGAATTATCTGTCCAAAGTTTCGTTACGTCAGAATATTGACATTGCATAGTTCTATAGGATAAGGGTCTAGCACTTGAGTTTTGTGAATGGTGCAGGACTGCAGAACACAGCGCTTAACTGGGCCAGATATGTCTAAAACACTGAATTCTAATCCATCTATGAGCATCCCTGATCCTAGGTGGCCTTAAATAATCCAAAATGGAATTTTCCAGTATTCGGCAAGGTGGGGCATGGAAAAGCATGTCTGCTGTGGGGTTTCAACATAAAGGAGTTAAGAGCTGGGAAGTACCTCCTTGGTCAATATGTAAACTAGGCCAGACTGACATCTCATTTTCCTTTTCTTCTTCTTTTTTTTTTTTTATAATCAGAGAGGAAGAGGAGAATATTGAACTTGAACAAACATTTTGGCTGGTCCAAAGGCACCAGGCCCTTGCTCTCTTTTAACCTCATAATTCTCATTGCATCATTCATGTGGAAGTAATCACTGCTCTGTGAGGTCTCAGAAACGGTTTCCCTCTGCTTTTTAAAATTTATCTTTCCGTGTCTGTGTCTTTGGTACCCTCGGATGTTAGGCCACCAGAGGAAAGGGGCTATGTCTTTTTGACGTTCGAGCCTCTTCAGCATCCAGCACCGTGCCTTGCACATAGTAGGTGCGTTCAATCAATGCTTGTTAAGGAATTAGTGAATGGGTCCGTAGGAGGAAAGAATGAAGATGAAACATTTCTCTCACGACGAGAACGAATATTTCTCAGTTTATTTCAGATATGAATCAGCTACTCAGCGTCAATTGTGCTTCTGTATACTCACCAGGTGTAGATACATGCTTCGGCTGAGATTGAGAAATTCATCTCCGGAGAATAATATGGTGGGCGGGGACCTGAAAGCTCCGAACCGCGAGGAGGGGGCGGAGTCACAGAGAGTTGGAGCGTTTCTGTCCAATCAAAAGGAGACGGCAGGAGCAGGAGTGGGAGATAAGGGGGAGCGGGAGATCGCGAATCCTGCCCAGTTACACGAGCCAGCCAGCCGGAACAGCAGCTTCTCCGTTTAGGTGTTTCTGCCCAGGGAGAGCTGCCGATTCCGAGGCCGACTCCAGCAATGGCCTTTGCAAATCTACGGAAAGTGCTTATCAGTGATAGCCTGGACCCTTGCTGCCGGAAGATCCTGCAAGATGGAGGGCTGCAGGTGGTGGAGAAGCAGAACCTGAGCCAGGAGGAGCTGATAGCCGAGCTGCAGGTTAGGCGAGCGGGAGACAGACTAGGGCTGCGAGGCATCCTCCGCGGACACTGGCTGACCAATTCCGGCCCAGCGTGCCCCACCCTCACCCCCATCGCTGGTGTCAGTCTTGGGGTCTCCCGAGATTGGGGGCTGGGAAGGGGGGAGGGAGAAGAAGGAGGGAGGAACAAAGGGCGGCAAGCTGCAGGATGCAAACTTTCCGTTCCGTTTGCAACCGCGTGTTTCACGTTGGCATGCCTCCCGCCAGCATTGCAAAGTGCTGGCTGCTTCAGCTGGTCCTGCAGGCTGCCCGGGGGATGCCAGCGCGGCTTCCCAGGGCCGTTGCGTTTAGTGGCCCTGGCAGCCCGGCGCCGCCTCTCCCCACCTCCAGCGGGGGCTCCGGGGGAGAGGCGCCAAAGTGGCTTCCCTGCTTGGAGCTCAGGGACCGGCGATCCTTCCCCAGCCAAGCCCTGGCTCGCCCAGCCAAGTGCTGCTTTCCCTGGGGGGCCCCGGCGGAGTCCCAGCCTGTTCCGTGGCTGCTGGAGAAGCTGCAGGGAAGGCGGCCCGGCTGGAGCGGCAAACGCCATACCCGCCTTTCATCTGATGCAAGACTGCTGAGAGTTTTCACCGCCCCTCTGCCGCCTGGGAGCGCTCGGAGGAAAGAGGGGCGGGCGGGGGGCGCCCGAGATCTCCGCGCCGGCCACGCGGCAGTCGCCTCGGCCGCCGCTGTCCAGGCTTAGTCTCCGCCAGTGGGCTCGGCGGGGTCAGGAATGGCCTGATCGGACGAGATTCCGATCCCAAAGCCCCCAGGAAACGTATATTTCCTAGCAGATCTTTCTCAGGAACGTTATCACCGTTTGTGCAGTTTACTTCAGATCTTTCTCTAACTTGCTTGTAAAAATCCTGCGAGGTTTGGTGGCCTCTTCCTGCCTTATAACATTTATTTCGTGAACTCTTCACTCCAGTTTCTGCACTTCTTACTTCTGTAACTGTGCCCAGCGCCCAGGTGTCTCTACCCGACCCGTCCGGATGTATTCTCCCCTTCCCCCAAACTCCCACACCCCGCAGTGTAGCCTCCTACCAACTTCAACCAGTCTCAGCGCGAATTCACCCTCTCCAGAGTCCCTTAAATCAAACCACAGAGGTGGCTACTGTTGCTTTAGCTGTGAGGCAATCGCATGGTCTTCATAACTGCCATTGTATCTCCTGCTGTGTTTCTCCATGGAACCCCTGCCGCTCTTCTCCCACCCCGTGGTACTGTATTCTGCCCCTGGCTTGTACGCAGAGAAGTTTCTGACTGGTCCCTGTCTTTTTTTTTTTTTTTTTTTTGGCTGCGTTGGGTCTTCCTTGCTCCTTGTGGGCTTCCTCTAGTTGCGGCCAGAGGGAGCTGCTCTTCGTTGCGGTGCTCCGGCTTCTTACTGCGTGGCTTCTGTTGTTGTGGATCACGGACTTCAGTAGCTGTGGCACGCGGACTCAGTAGTTGTGGTGCATGGGTTTAGTTGTCCGTGACATGTGGGACCTTCCTGGACCAGGGCTCGAACCCGTGTCCCCTGCATTGGCAGGTGGATTCTTAACCACTGTGCCACCAGGGAAGTCCCTGGTCTCTGTCTTAAAGAAGCTTGTCAGCTAGTTAGGAGCCTGGCCAACACACGGTGAGACAAGTGACCAGATGACACAGTACTTGAGTGCTAAATGAGACCATCCGGCAGCCTAGCCTTTGCCTCTCCATGGCGTTGCAAATGGAGAGAAGCGGGTGATCAGCCTGGACTCGGTGGGGGCCAAGGGCTCAGGACGTGATCCTTGGACTACCCTAGGACTGGATGGGGAAACGGCACCTCACACTTGTCACCTCCTCTTTTGTGCAGATGGTATCATGGCCTTGGCTCTGGGCCGTGGCCAGAAGGAAGTGGAGTGGTCTCTAGATTCTCACCTCCACCAGACCACCGGGTTGGGAAGAGTGGCCTGGACTTGGGGCTTCCCAGCTTTGTTATGGAAATTAAAATTCTGTACCCCGGGGGTAGGGTGGGTTGAGAGGGAGTGGTGAGTGTGGAATTGACTAGAATGGGAGGCCCTGGTCACTAGTGGAGGGTTTCCATGGTGTTGAGAGGTTGGCCGGGTGGGTGCAGGGAATCTGGGGCTGGAACTTGGAGGACATTTTAAAGGCACTGAAAACTTCTGGCAGGAGAGGAGGGGTGTTTGTTGGCTACATTGTTGGATGGTTTGGAAGTGCCCAGTCTTCACGTCTGTCTTTGTAAAAAGCACTAGGTTCAGACTGCTGGTTAGTCTCCCTGGGCCACTGGAGGGTCCTCATATCCACACTTGCCTCTTGTTATTCTGCATGGAGAGGTGCCTGGGTTAGTGGCCCCTGCCCTCCCCTGTTTAAACCTTTTTAATACTGAAAGAAACTGGGGCCCAGTACCTGAACCAGGCCTGGCCTCCGTTCCCACTCCTTGGTATTCTGGGCAGGCACAATTTATTCTCTCTCAGTCTGTGGTCAGGAAGTACAATCATCCCCCAGAACCATGCTTTTCAGACTTGAAGCAAGTCACAGCTCATTAGTGGGTGATGAAGTCCATTTAATGGGTCATGATTAGCATTTAAAAAAACAAAATAAGAAATATCAGAGAGCAATGCAGATAGTAAGGCTAAGTATTGTGTCACGAAATTTGTTTCAGTTATTGTGTGTTTGTGGTGTGTGTGGTATATGAGTATAAAATCATAACTTAAACATGTGTTTCTTACTGTGGGTCTTAGTCAAAAGTTTGGAAAACACTGGCTTGGAATAATAAAGCATCTTGTTTGGAACTCAACTAAACTCGTACTTAGACTGTGTACCCCTCTTCTATCAGCAGATGTCACATCTTAAATAAGCCTAATATGCAGGAACATTTAAATCTTAGCATGTATCGGTGGCTTTTAAACTTTGACCATGGCCCACAATAGGAAATTCATTTTACATTATAACTCACTATACACACACATATGTGTACACACATACACTAAAGTTTCATGAAAGAATACCCTTACTAGATGTGTTGCGTTCTGATACTTTCTTCTGTTTCATTAACTAGCAATGCTAGTCAGAATCCTCTAAACGCACGCTGGTAATGCATTTAATTTACTGAAGCACCTTTGTATCTTTATTTCAGAATTTGAAGAAAGGATAAGAAGGGAATAAAGTTCGATGCAAGAGTCCATGTTTTGAAAGGCTCTCTTAAAATGCAAATTTCTAGCCTTTACACTAGGATTTGGTTTGCAAGAGTTAAATAACCATCTACTTAATCAGGATCACACATATTGTGCCAAACCGCGCCCACCTGCATTCTCTATAGCTGGGGAACATGATCTGGAGAGGTTCTCTGACTTCTCCTGTGATGTAAGTCAGAAGCAGGAGCACTGCTAGAATCATCCCCAAGGCCAAGCCTGTTCTTGGGAAAGGAAGCATGTGTGAACTTGAGGAACGTGAATGGGTTTCCACTGCTGAGTTTGCATAGTTTGTCCGGAACAGCTATAAATCCAGCAGAACAGCTGCTCTGAAGCAGCTGTGGGACTGGGAGTGGGGAGGAAACCCAAGTGTAAGCAAATGCCTGTTCCAGCCTGCATACTTTTTTTTTTTTTCTGTACGCGGGCCTCTCACTGTTGTGGCCTCTCCCATTGCGGAGCACAGGCTCTGGACGCGCAGGCTCAGCGGCCATGGCTCATGGGCCCAGCCGCTCCGCGGCATGTGGGATCCTCCCGGACCGGGGCACGAACCCGTGTCCCCTGCATCAGCAGGCGGACTCTCAACCACTGCGCCACCAGGGAAGCCCCCAGCCTGAATTCTTATACAGATAGAGCACGCACAAAGCAGACAACAGTAGACAGCAGAGTGGGTGCAGTGTTGAGATTCCTACTGCGGGAGTGCCAGAGAGGACCTTGGGGTGCTGCAGAAGAAAGTTATAATCACTGCAAACTGCAGGGAAGATGCGGGTGGATTTGCAAAGGACTGCGGTTTGCATAAGTAGAGGAGAGGAGTGGACTGCAGGGAGCCAAGTCTCCAAGGGATGACGTGGGGCCCGAGAAGGGGACCGGGCCTGGAGTGCAGGGCTTTTGAGGGATCAGCGGCAGCTAGGTTGGTTGGCACACAGGCTCTCAGTAAATGCATGCTGGTTGAATGAATTCTGGTTTTTTGTTTTTTGTTTTTTGTGTGTTTTTGTCACACCGTGTGGCTCAAGGTATCTTAGTTCCCTGACCAGGGATTGAACCCGCGCCCTCAGCAGTGGAAGTGCAGTGTCCCAACCACTGGACCACCAGGGAATTCCCTTGAATGAATGAATTGATGATGTGTTTGAATGAACAGGAACAGGGGTAGTTGAGGGTGTAAAGGGTCTTGAAAGCCCGTGAACTCTGGCCACAGGAATGCCCGGATCGTGTGGGACCAGCGTCTGCTGAATGGGAGTCTGCAAAGGCAGATTCCCACTTGGGATGGGTGAGCTCTGCATGTACATCTGTGCTGGTCTGACTGGAGGCTCTTCAGACTTCTTGGCTTCACAGAAAGCTGGGACACACCCTTGAGGGAAAAGTAGAGAGAGACTGCAGGATAAATCTCTGTAAGGGAGATCCTTCCACAGACAGAGGTCGTGCTTGTTAAAGAAAAACGCCATGCTGTCTCTGGGCTTGTCCTCGGGGTCTGCAGGAATGGGGTGGACTCCTGGGGAGTCTGCATCCTCTTCTACAGCGGGTCTGTCCTGTGGGAAGCAGATTCCCAAGGTTTGCGGAAGGGCTGGCAGCTTTGGAGCGAGCATTCAAGGAGCATTCTATTCAGAACCACAGACACACAAGGCTTGGAGTGCCTGTGAAGGGTCCTCCATCCAGCTGTTTGCGGTCTGGCACAGCCCCCAGCCAGTGGGGATGCATGAAGCATTCATGCCTCCAGAGAAGTAATTCTGCAGCCTCTCTTGAACAATCATCCCAGTGTTGAGAAGCCCTCCAGATCTAAAGAGGCTGCGACGTAAGCTTCATTCCTCTTCTTCCATCCGTGGAGAGCAAAGAACTCTGTGCTCTCTCTGCATGTAACTTGTCCAAACTGGTTCCAAGGCTCTGGGCTTGCACACCGTAAACACAGTGTGGGTCCTCACCCTGGGAGCCAGATGCCCATGGCCTTTCTCTGTCTCCAGAATCCGTGTGGTGAGGGGGGAAGAGAGAAAGTTCTCGTGGGATCCAGCTGGGTGCTCCACTGGGGAAATGCAGCGTGGCTTACAGGTGTCAGATCAGATGTGGGAGGGACCCCAGGGGCCATCTGTTCCAATGCTCTTATGTTACAGAAGGAGACCAGGGTACGGGGTGACATGACTTGGTACAGTGACCCAACTTGTCATTGCCAGCCCTAGGCCTAGAACCCCAGCCTCCTGGTTCCCAGGTTGCTGCTTGTGCAGTGACCCTTGCTGCTTGCCCACCAACCTGGGACAGCCAGCTTGGGACAGAGTGTGTATTTGCTCACCTGCTCCATTTCCTGGGGATTCTCATCGGGTGTTTGGCAACAGTATCCTTATTCTGCAGAAGATACCACTGGATTCTGGGTGAGCCTAAGGAAGATTGTCCTGGGGTCTGGCTTAGCCCAGGTATAATGGCTGTGATGAATCCAGAAAGTCTGATTTTTCACATAGGTATAGTCTTAGCCTTATATTGCCTGGTTTTCCAAGTAACTACGGACAAGTTTAATTATTTTCTGCCCTTCCCCTTACTTTGGTTTCTGTTTTAGGAAATGTTTTTCTTTTAACAATTTGTCTTTTATTCACTTCATGTATTCATCTATTGAGTGCCTTCTGTGTACCAGGCATAGGCGCTTACAAAGTAGAATCCAATCCCACCTCTTCCCATCAGTAGCTCCGTGTCCAGTGGAGGAAGTGATGTCCATTGAGCGGGGCCAGATATCATGCCAGGCGTTGTACCTTCCTGTCTCATCTCTTCCTCACACACTTAAGGAGGCCGAAGCTCAGAGTCATAGCTTGTCAGGACTGGAGCTTGGATGTGAACCCAAGCATGAGTGATCGCGGGGGCTTTCAGATGTGTGTGCATAAACGTGCCTTCCTTTCCCTGAATGTATCCAAAGTCAGCCAGCCTGCAGGAACTCCCACTTTGGACAGACGGGCTTTACGAGGTCTCAGAGACCAACTCTGTGGATCCAGGTGTTTCTTCTTCTGCCTCAGGACTGCGAAGGCCTTATTGTCCGCTCGGCCACCAAGGTGACCTCTGATGTCATCAACGCGACCAAGAAGCTGCAGGTGGTGGGCCGGGCTGGCACGGGCGTGGACAATGTGGATCTGGAGGCTGCAACAAGGAAGGGCATCCTGGTCATGAAGTAAGTCGTGGAAGTGGTGGGGTGGTGGTCCAGGAGGCCGCCCGCTCCAGGCCAAGTCCAGAGAGGGGCGCAGCACTCACCGCTTAGCGGTTCCCGGGTTTTTGACACAGAGGCTCTCTTTGTAATCTCAAAATGCTTCACACACCTGCCCCCTAGATGCTCGCACGCCTGCAGCCTGGTTGGGGAATCAGAAGAATGCTGGTGGATTTGTCTCAGTCCTTGCTTCAGCCCTGCCCTTCCCCCTCGGCTGTTTCATCTGAAGCCAGGTTCTGTCGGCTCTGCTTGACTGTGGTCTCCCTTGTGCAGCTGCGTAACCTTTGCTAGTAGACGGACTCTCCCATTCTCTCTTCCTCACTTCCCTGCACCCTTCGGGGGCCGGGAACCCAGTTTCTCTTTACTCCAGGGCCAAGAGGGAAGGGGTCCCCTTTAGAGCTGTTTTTGCAGAAACCCAGGGCAAAGGTCATGGCAGCATGCCAGCACTAGGCAACACTCATTTCTGGCCCCGGTCTGGCATGTAAGTGGTGTGGCAAGGTTAACCCCTTCCACTTCTCTGTCCTCGAGCCTTTCCTCTTCCCTTGGGAGCCTCAGTGTTCTCGAGACTTTCCCCTCCCTTCCCTCCACTTCCCTCCATAGGGTAGGGGTTAACCAACCCAATCGTCTGCCTGAGGTCAATATCCAACAGACGAAATGTTAACCAATAACCCATCCTCCAATCTTGCGCTGGACCCAGAGGCACCAGCCCCCTGGTCCCCGCACCTCTTCCTGTATCCCATGTAGCCTGGTCATTCGCTGGGCGAGTCAGGAAGCCAGGTGTTCTTATGGAAAGACAGACTCTGAGAATCCTTTTTTTATTTTTATTTATTTCCTTTTGAAAAGTTCTGTATTTTCAAGGGAAAGAAACTGTTTTTTGGTCTACTTTATTTTTTTATTATTTTTTTATACAGCAGGTTCTTAATAGTCATCAATTTTATACACATCAGTGTATACATGTCTGAGAATCCTTTTATCTTGATTTTTAACTTTTTAAAAATAGGATCTCTTGACTTTTCACCTTATAACCTTCATTTCCAGAGAAGAAAAGAGGGAAAGGAGGGTGAACACGTGTGTTAATAAATTATTTCAAGAGCAACAAGAAAAAGCCTTTGAGAAAAGAAAAATAGTTTCACGGGTATTATCTCTATTTTCCTTTCTGTAAGATGGGTAGAGTCAACATTACCCTATGATTTAACTTGTGAAGATGATTTCTCAGTGCAAAACTTGTTGAGAAATAGGAGGAAAAGTCAAACAGGACAAGATAAAAATATTAGCTTTGTTACTAAAAAAAAGACAGGTTGGGCAAATTGATAAAGGTCTGTGGGCAAGGGGCTGACCTCTGTATCTGTCACGGGTACAGCCTCAATAAGACTGATGGCATGAAACTAACACAACAGTGTAAAATCAACTATACTCCAATAAAAATTTTTAAAAACAAGATTGATGGCATGGAACAGCAGGGATTTGTCTTTCTGTAGGCAGGTAGATCCTAAAGTAAGAGGAGAGAGAGAAGGGCTGAGCCACGCGTATCTCTCCCAATCTATTGAGATACTTCTCTGCCCCGGGAGAAATGAGTTTGGGTAGAGAGATGAGTGTGTTTCTCGAATGGAGGTCCCTCCGCAGGAAAACATAAAGCCAGGGCAAAGGGGTTTTCTTCCAGACCTGGGGTTAGGGCAGGAGTACATCACAGAACCCAGGGCAGTGGCGTGGTGTTAGGGGTTTTCACTAAGAACAGGTAAGTTCAAAATGTTGGCGAGAATGTGGAGAAAAGAGAACCCTCGTACACTGTTGGTGGGAATGTAAATTGGTGCAGCCACTGTGGAGAACAGTTGGAGGTTCCTCAAAAAACTAAAGAAAGGACTACCACATGACCCAGCGATTTCACTCCTGGGTATATATCCAAAAAAACCAAAAATGCTAATTCTAAAAGATAGGTGCACGCCCACGTTCATAGCAGCATTATGTACAATTGCCAAGATATGGAAGCAATCTGAGTATCCATCGACAGATGAATGGATAAAGAAGATGTTATATATATATAATAGAATACTACTCAGGCATGAAAAGAATGAAATTTTGCCATTTGGATGGTTTTGGAAGGCATTATGCTAAGTGAAATAAGTCAGACATAGAAAGACAAATACTGTATGTTATCACTTACATATGGAATCTAAAAAATAAATCAAACTAGTGAATATAACAAAAAAGAAACAGATTCACAGATATAGAGAACAATCTAGTGGCTACCAGCGGGGAGAGGGAAGGGGGGAGGGGCAACGTAGGGGTAGGGGGTTAAGAGGTACAAACTATTAGGTATAAAATAAGCTGTAAGGATATACTGTACAATGCAGGGGATATGGCCAATATTTTATGATAACTATAAATGCAGTGTAACCTTTAAAAATTGTGAATCACTATATTGTACACTTGTAACTTATATAATATTATACATCAACTATACTTCAATTTTTAAAAAAGTAAAAAAAGAAAAACCCATAAAACTAAACAAAACAAACAAAAAGAAGAGGAAAGCTTATGGAGCGGGAGAGAGAGCACAGCGTGCACTAGTCTTTCCACTGGGACAGGAGTGGGAATCCTGGGTCTGGCTGACCGATGTCCCCCATCTTCTTCCATCTTTAGCACCCCCAGTGGGAACAGCCTCAGCGCTGCGGAGCTCACCTGTGGGATGATCATGTGCCTGGCCAGGTAAGTCCCTGACTTCTGAGCAGAGTCACTGTCTGTGGTCTGTCAATTATTATGACTCCCTAAGCAAACTGACCCCGAGAAACTTAGAAACACTTCAGCTTGGTGACATGCAGGCTGCTAAGAACCTTCAAGGCCGTCAGTCCTCAACTGAACATTCGTTACACTGGTCTGGCACACCAAGGTCAGGTGGCTTCTCAGGTTGTTTGCAAACACACAGGATGTGCATGAATCTTACTGTGCTGGGTGGTAAAATGACTGTATGAACACTGCTGTTGAAAAGGCAGTGGGTCAGTGGGAAGGGCAAGGAGCCAGTGGGAGGGCGGGAAGATGCTCTGGGTCCCTTTGCAGATCCGCGGATCCTTAAACCAAGGAACCCAGGCAGCCAGGACCCCTCACGTCACTACTCAGGCCTGAAACCTTCTGGGGCTGAGAAATGATTCCTTTCCCTTCTCAAGACCTATTCTCCTCCCTGCTGGGAGGGGATCTGAGGGAGTTCACCTTTGTTCTAACTCTTCCCCAAGATTTCTACCTGAGATCTTAGGTATTCACTGATATTCACTTGTCAGTGAAGAGGAGAGGAGGTTGGAGAAAGGGAAGAACAGGGAGAATTGCACAGCAGGAGGGACCCAGCCCGGAAGGGGTCCCTAAGCTGGCTGTCTGGATCTCCTGGAACATCTGCAGAAGTGTTGAGGCCTGATGCCCTGGTGTCACTTGTGCTATTAAATTCAGTGGTGGTTTCTTTTTGGTTTCTTGGGGGGGTGAGGGAGCGATCCCAGTGCAGCTTTCTAATTCTCTCACTTTTTTTCTGGAGGTTGTGTTTCCCTTGCGAGTCAGGAATAATCTTCCTCCTATTCCAAGACCAGCTTTACTTAAAGGAGTAGGCAAAGTGGTATGACTTAGGGGAAGCGCCCTGTCGCCAGCCACTCATCATGACCTCACTCATCATCAAAACCAAGAAAGAAGCACCCTATGAGAAGGAATCACCAGTCTCTCATAACCCCTGTGTGCTGGTTTAATCAGACCACTTTCCAGGCAGGGCAGCGGTAGAGGGGGTGGGAAGTGTGCACGGTAAAGTTGAGAGCATTGGGCAATGTGGGTGGAGAGCAGGGCTGAATGGGCCTCACGGTGGGGGACTTTGAACAGATTTTGCCTGTTCCTGAGGTGCTGGAGAAGAACAAGGGCACGGAAAGAAAGAGTGGAGAATACAACAAATGTAGATGTCACCGTTGTGCCTGCTTTATTTTCTCTTGTAAGTCAGGCCGGCCTCCGTATAATTCTTGGGAGGTCCCTTGCCCATGTCATGGTCCTCCCCAGACTGGCCTGGTGAGGATCCCGAAATGTTGAAACCTGGGGAGGCACCACGGCCAGCTGGGTGGAGCGCCCAGAGGGAGGGTGTGAGGGTTTCCTGTGCTCCGCGGTGCTGCACGCACATCTCTGAGATGGCATCTTGCAGTCAGGTGGGCAGAGGTCGGGAGGCCAGAGCCGGGGGCTCTGTCTCACTCGGTCAGAGGCATCTCATCCGGCTGGCTTTGCTGAGGGGGGAGCACTTCCTCAAGGCAAGTCATTGTCCTACATGACATTCCTGAAATGAGGCCCCATGGGCCAGAGCAGTGAGATGGAGCTTCTTCCATGAACTTGTTATGTAAGCTTTGTTGAGTTTACCCATGAGTTCTTGGGACTCTGATCGTAGAACAGATTCCCATCAACCTCACCCTCAGATGGAAGTCTGTGTCCTGGTAACGTGTAGACAGGAAAGAATGCTTTTTATAAGAAGTCAGTGAAGTGGAAATACAGGAAGAGTTATCTTGGAATCTCTTCTCTCTCACACACGCAGACGTGCACACACCTCTGAATTTTGTGGCCGGCAGGAACGCCTGCATTTAAATACTTGGGAGGCTAACTGGTGGGGATGTCTTCCTTGGCTTTGAATTGATTGTGCTACTTCTCGTTGAGTGATGCTGGGCAAGGTATTTAACCCCCAGTGGCCACACTCCACCCCCATGCAGTTGTGAGCATTAAATGACCTGATGTTTAAACATTGTTTCTTGTCTCTTCCTTTCTAGCTTCTGGAGAAGCCTGGAGGGCCATGTCCCACATGACACATCTTGCCCTCTGACCTCTCACATTGCCCTAACTTCCTTTGTCCTCTCCAGAAAACACATAGAGACTCAGACCTCCATGTTGACCAATAGGAGGAGATAAGCTGTGGAGAGAGTGTGTGTGCGTGTGTGTATGTGCGTGTGTGTGTGGTGGGACAGGAGGTTGTGTGGTTGTTGGAAGTGTCTGGACTACACCACCCGCCCACCCCAGTCTAGCCTAACTCTCAAGGGAGAATAAGTATTCAGCTGTCCCTTGATACAGTGGAAGATGTTGTAGGTTATGGCTCTGGATGGAATAGGAAAGTGGAAATTCTTGAATTTCTGGAACATTTGGTGTTATCAAAGTCTACCAATACCCCATTTCATTATCCCTACAAACCCTGGAAGATTAGCTGTTGCTTTTTACATGCCCAGAGTCACTCAGGCTGATACTCCAGCCACTGAGATGGACTCAGAACCTCCTCCCAGACACCTAGCTGGAGACAAATCCCAGGGCTCCAAGTCAGGTCTCGCCAAGGGTTTCCCCCTGCTACCCTCCCTTGACCATCCTCGGTGTTTCTGAACCTAAGCCCCCCAGACCCAGCTTGAGCTTGGTTCCCTGGGGGGGTGCCCGGCAGAAATAGTGGCTGTGCAGCCCTCACATTGCGCCTCCTTCCTGGGCTGGCAGGGTCTGGGTGGGCCCGCTGACTTTGTCTGTCCTTGCAGACAGATTCCCCAGGCGACGGCCTCCATGAAGGATGGCAAATGGGAACGGAAGAAGGTGAGCAGCCGGCTTTGCCTCACCCCACCTGGCTGGGTGCCCGAGGTCCACTCTGGGTGCTGACTTCCACTTCTTCACCTGTTTGCAGTTCATGGGAACAGAGCTGAATGGAAAGATCCTAGGAATTCTTGGCCTGGGCAGAATTGGGAGAGAGGTGGCCACCCGGATGCAATCCTTTGGGATGAAGGTAAGAGGTCACCAGACCACTTTGATGTGGGGCTTCCCATAGCAATTTTGGAGGAGGCAGGTTTGCTTGAGAGAAGCTAAAGGCTTTGCCCTAGGAGGGCCTGACCCCCACTTTAGAGCTCCTGAGTGAATGGGTGGCAAAGCCAGGGAGGGAGGGAACATTGGCCTGCTGATCTAGACCCTTGAATTCAACATCTGGGAATGCTTGGTGGAGGTCCTTCAGCTCTGGGATGAGTAATTGCCTTGAGTCCCCATGGAGCTGAGAGGGGTCTTGTATCCTGCCCTTCCTTTCCTCCCCTTCTGCGAGGGCCTCCCTGTTTTGCTGCTTCTGTCTTCTGTGATAATTCAGAAAACAGGAGCAAATTTATAACCTTAAAACAGAGCAATTGTCCATCCGTCTTCTAGCTCCCCTCCATAGTCCAGAAGAGATTGAAAGGTGCTTGCCTATATGCTGTGAAATGATCGTGGAGCCCACGGTGGCCAGGAGACCTCACACATCTCTCAGAAATCATCCCTGACCCCCGCCGCCCACCAGGGCTCTCTCTTATCCTATGCTGGGAGCTCAGTAGTTCTTCTGGTTGACGGAGGGTTGTCATCAGTAGCAGTGCCACCCCCAGCACCCGGGGCCAATCCAGGAGACCTTGCTGAGGCGGGAGGCCATTCAGCTAAGAGAGGAAGCCCACAGGACTGCCCAGGTGGGCCAGAGAGGTGTAGCAGCTGGGTCGGCTGGTGGCCGTCTCCATGTTTCCTGTGACTGTTGAGGGAGGGATTGTGGGTTCAAACTGCAGCCAGGAAAGCTTTAGTTAAACATTAAGGAAAATGGTTTTGAAAATCAGATCATTTCAGTTCTAGAAAAATTTACATAGAGCTGCTATGGAATTGTCCCTTTTTCCCTTGCTCTTTCCTTTCTGTATGTCCCTCCCACCTTCATTGCGTTAGAAGAGACTTTATAGATTAACCCTTAATTTTATGTCGAACTTTGGAGTTTGTAAGTTTTTGCTAAGGGCTTGCAGTAAATGGACGATGGACAAGAACCAGGTGGGCAACCCATTGTACCACAATCCACATCTTCTCTCCCCTGCCTCTACTTCCCACCCTATTAAGTGAAGTCAGCCAGACACCGTTTCTAAGCCTCTGCACTGGGAAGGGCGGGGACATTTTTCTGGCTCCCTGTGAGAGGTGGGTGTGGCCCTGCAGGATCCATTGATCATGGAAACAAACCAAAGCCACGTCCTTTGTGCAGGGGTGGTGAGGTGCCGTAGCCACAGGGAGCACTTTCTCCTTTTTCCTCATTGGTGAGGGATCAAGGTAAAGGTTCAGCTCGTGAAAAATTCTGATCATCCAAAAGCAGGGGTCCTGGTGAAGTAAAACTCGGGGCACAGGTAACCAAACAGGTGAGCGTTTCATCGATGACACAGTGACTTTGGGATGGTTGCCAGGCCCAGCAGCCGTTCTGTCACGTGCACTCCCCTTCCGCACGGTGCCACAGCACACCAGGTTCTTCTAGCTCAGGAACACTCATTGTCAAGGACTTGAGACTTTGGCAGTGACTTAGGTCAGACAAGAAGTCCCACCTCATGTCTTGAATAATTGAAGTGATGGATAAGATAAGCTTGTCTGTTCCTTTGGCACCACTCAGCTACTTAACCGCTGCCAGGGCTGCTTCCTAGAGGCACAGAGGGATGTAGGACCTTGAGCATCAACAGCGGAAGTGACTGACAGGGCCCAGCTCAGAGATGCCTAGAGCCTGCTTCTGAGTGTTGATCTGTGTCTCTGGCATAACCCTCACCACATGCCCACACGTTTTATTCCCAGCATGGTTTTGAGGACGTGGGTGCCTTTTTGTGTGTGTTGCAGCAAGTAGCTGCTTCGTTGGGGGGTTTCTTCTGTCCAGATGTCTCTGGAGGGTTACTCTAGACCGTCGTGCTTCTGGGACATGCTCTTTGAAAACCCGGAACACACCTTGGGATATCCCCCCAACCCCAGCCCCTCAAGAGCAGCCTGGCTCTGGTCCTTTCCCACTGGCCCAAGTGGTGTCTCTTTGTGCTCAGCTGCTCACTTTGACCCAGCTCCTTAACATGTTTCCAGGTCCCAACACATTCTTAATCTCATCTCAGGGCAGCAGATCACTGACCTGCATCATCTGAACCTCGGTTCATGTTCAAGCAGTTGTGGAGAGCAAGATTTTCTAAAGGGCAAGGAAGGGAGATTCTTGAGCAAATTGTAAAAGAGATGACTTAGCATCCAAACAGGACGCCGTCTGAAACAAGAGTTGTTTCAAACTAGTCTTGGTCTCTCTTTGGAAATCAGTATTAAACTGGTAATATCATGGGACTCCCTAGATGTCATATATCTTGACTATTTAAAATTATATTGTATTCATGTAATAAGTCAGTGCATTCTCATAAAAACTGAAATATAGATAGAGGTCCCCTAAATGACCATACCAGTCAGAGTTTCCTCACAGGTAATGTCGGTTTGATCTGTGTCATCTCAGATTTTTTCCATGCATTTATATGGAATGCATACAGTTCTATGCCTATAGAGGAATTCTACTTCTAGAGAGAATGGAATATTGTGCATGTCGTTGAGATAAAAACGTATGGCTTGGAATAAATAGATTTACCGTATTTTAAAACTGTTGCATGGAATTCCTTTGTAGGGATAAATTGATTTTGTTTGGCTATTCCCTCAGTGATGGACATTTAGATTGTTTGCAGATGTGGACTTTAGCAAGCGTTGGTGAGGTCTTCATGATACCCTCGGGGTGAAGATGGAGACCGTGAGCGTGGTGCTAAGGGTTTAGTAACTGGTTGAAAGAGGGATCTGACTCAGTCTGTAGGGAGATTGTACAGGATGGTGCAGGGCTCTGCCTTGTCCACCATTCTCATCAACAGCCTGGATGATGTGTCATTTGTGGATGACAGGAAGCAAGGAGAAAAGTAGTTAGTGCTTAAAAGTGCAGAATCAGGTCCTAAAAGACATTCGAAGTCTAGAATAGTTGGACACTCTAATAGGAACTTTGTTTGGGATACATCAGTGCCCTACATATGGGCCTCCAGAGCAACTAGACTTGGGTGTAGAGGTGAGTATAAAAGGCTTTATCTAGGGGAGGAGGCCTTTGTTTGACAACAGGGCAGTGTGGTTAACAGCGAGTGATATGATTGATAGAAAAGTTTATGTGACTTCCGGCAGCATTAAAAGAAGTATGACATTCAGAGCAAGGGAGGTGACATTCTTCATGCTGTGTACTGATCAGCTCCTGTGTGAGTATTTGAGCAGTCAAAGACCCCAAGTTCTGGGAGACTGTGAAAGCTTTGGAGACAGAGGGTGATGGGGAGGGAGCTCATGTCTGTGTTTCCTAAGAAAGGGCTGAAGGCACTGGGGTCACTGAACCCATCAAGACTTGGGAGTCACAGTGGAGGCCTTCAAATAGCTAAACAGAAGTCTTATGGAAGAGTCGCGCTCTCTAAGAAGTAGATCCAGGGAGGACCACTAGGTGTAAGCTGGAGGGGCAGAGCTACAGAGCTGGTCCCCAGTAGAATGAATGGTCTCAGGAGAGAGTGAGTCCCGCATCTCTGCAGATATACCTGCAAGACCGGATAACCACTTGGCCAGCATGTGAAGAGGGCGTGTGAACATAGACGCAGACGCCCTGTGAGCCCTGATGTCTGTGAACATCCATCATCCCAATGGGCTACCCCTTTCTTTAAACTGTGAAATGGTCCTGGCAGTGAGTTGACTGTGTGGTCCTAGGCAACGGTGTCCAATTATTAAGGACTGGGTTTGCTACAGTAACTTGGGAGAACAACCTAATTAAAGACATAGAGTGGACCAGGAGTCGTAGGGGACACTGAGTAGTTCTGGCTGGGCTGGCTCGGGCGAAACAGCAAAGCTTGTAGAGGTTATCTTTATCATCCTCTGCGCTCCTGGCACCTGGGGTCTTATCGTGTTCCTGATCTGTCACCAGGCTGTTTATCACTAATTAGGCTGCTAATGGACAACTATTATCTGACCCTCTCTAAGGCATCAGGATTTAAACTATCCGAAACGACTCTTCGGAGAGTTTCATTTTGTTACAAGGAAAATGTTTTGGTGAAACGTGTGTGCAAAAAAAAAGTGTAACAGATGAAATCATGGTTTTCCCCGTTTTTCCAACATGCCCGGGGAAAATGTCCTCCCTAAGCAAACCGGACTGTGAAAGCAGGGAACCGTTCATGGCTTTCTCTTGCGTGACTGAACAGGCATCAAAACAGGTGGACAGTTTTCATTTTCACCAATACTAAAAAGTGTAGCTGACGCAGGACCTCTGTCTACCATTCTTGCTCCAAGTGACAACAGTACCTGCTCTTCTAAGGTCATGGAACTCCTCCAGACTGGGGAAGTCTCAGCTCCTACGTTATAAGCCCCAGTATTACTGAGCCTCCTTGGCCTCATTTTGAGTTTATACTTCAACATAATACTTTCAGATATATGGTGGTTGGGTGAAAACGATTTCCCTGGTAAAACTGTTACTTTTATAAATGTGCAGAATAAAAGCTATTAAATAGTTTTAAAAAAAAAGGGGGCTCCCCTTCAGATCACAGGAGCTGTAAGGAGAGACCTTCTTGGGCTCAGATACTGGGGGTGGACCACCCCTTTCCCTTCCTTTCTTTGGGACTGTCTGGTCACTTATGGAAGGGGGAGCTTAGCCAGGTGGGGATCGGTGGGCAAAGAGCCCACTTATGCCAGCACAGGCCTAGGAGGAGCCTTGGTTTCCACCTTAGAGCAGCTGCTGTCCTTGCTTTGAGCCACAGGTGCAGATGTGGGTCTCAGGATAATTCTGGCAGCCTGCAGCCCGCTGGTGTTCTGAATCATTTGGGTCTTACACTCTGTAATGTTCTTTCTGCTTGAAGCTTTTTCTCAATCGTGTTGCTGGATAACAGGTTATAACTCTGGAGGCTCAACGCATTCAAGCTGGCCTGTCCCCTAGAGTGGGTCCACAGGCCCCAGCCGACCAGGGGCTGAGCCTTGCACTTTCTTTTCAGGGTTTTCTGTGAGGAGCAGACCAGCATCTCTTAACAGTTTCTTTGCGCCCAGGGTTGTGATGAGTCTGACGTTAGCCCAGAGGGATGGACGTTGAACCCGAGGCACCAGTTGTCCCTGATTCTTTCAGGTCCTGCTAATATTGACTGAGCTCTGCTGTGTTAGATACTGTGCTTGCAATGACCCTCTGGGGTCAATATTATTAACCCAGTTTTACAGATAAGGAAACTGAGGCCCAGGGAGCTTATGTGATACGCTCAAGATAATAGGACGAGTAAGGGGTGGAGTCCAGCTCAGACTCTGGGCCTCCTGAGTTCCAGCCTGGTGCTTTTTGCCCCACTCCACCACCGCCGTCTTTATTCCTGACCCCTGCTCGTTAATCAGTCCCTGCTCCGTGTCCCTGTGCTCAGCCATTCGCAGGACAGGCGGCTGCCATCTCAGTCTGGTACCTGGAATTCCTACTGCCCTAGAGCAGTGATGTTCAAATATTTTCAGATATAGAATAAGGACCTGGGGTATGGGCCCAGAAAGAGAGCAGGTGGTGGGGCTCTGGGCCTTCACCTCTGCCCCTTTGAATCGCTCTGGTTTTATACGGAGTTTCTGTGTAAGGTTTCAGCGTGTTGGGGGAGAGCACCAACGCTAAGCCCGAAGATTGGCTCTGGGGTAGAGAGGGGGCATGACCGTTAGGCTCCCCTGTTGGAGTCCCTTTACCTTGAAGGCCTTCTTGCTCTCCTCCGTCCACGGTCAGCCAGGGGACCGGAAGCAGCGTGCTCAGCCTCCCAAGGCTGCCTCCTAGGACGGCAGCTAGGACGTCACCCTGGAGCTCCGCTTGAAAACCTAGGGTTCCTCTGCCGCCCCAACACCAGGAGTCCTGGGACGGGGTGAGGTGGGGCATCCCTTTATGCAGCTCCCCAAGGCTCCTCTCTAGGAATCATAGATGTGTGTAACCGTGAGTGTCCTGATTTCTGCACGTGACGACATCTGACCTAGCCAGGATACATTAGGACCCGACCCGGGATTGGTCCCCTGGGCCTGCTATCACCCTTTTTATCTCTGGCAACGTGGTCCCCTGATATAAGAACCCCAGCCCTTAGTTGAGCTCAGCTCCTGTCCGCCCTGGGTATTTTGAGTGAAAAATGAGAACAGGGTAGAATTCTTCCCTGCAGTTGTCTGCAGATGAACGAGGTACTGTTTCTCTGTGAAAGAAAGCTGAGTTGGGGCCTGCTGACCGCTGCGGAAGATGCTATCCCTCCTCTTCCCCCCACCCCACGCCGTCCACTTCCCTTTAGACCCAGGCAGCTGCAGCGGGGGCACTGGGCCAGGCTTGGCCTGCAAGACCCTTCCTCCCGGCAGCCCCGTGCTGCTTCTTGGCTCCTAGGAGCCCAGAGCCAATAGAGTTGTGTGAACCCCCTCCATCGGGCTTGGCTGTGTGACCTCCATTGGTGTCCCTACCCTCTTCCCACTCCACATGAGGAAAAGTACATCTGGCTTAGAAATGAACGGGGCCGTTGTTTCAACCAGTCTCAGAGCCCACGGACAAAGAAGACTTGTGAGGACAAGGGCAGGATCCTCTCCCCTCCCCTGGGCGTTTCATTCTCCCCAAGAGAAACGAGGAGGTTACATCTGGGGGAATGGCCACGTGGGGCTCAGGCGGTCCCGAGCTCACGATCCCGTAGGGCGTCTGGGAGGCAACCTCTTTCTCCTAAACCTCTGCCGGAGGTCGGAGTGGGACCCACCCAGCGTTTGTTGTCCCACAAGGCTGATGATGAAAAACGTGACCCCAAAGTGACACCTTGTTCGTAACCGTTTTCAGTTTCTTCTCTAGGAGTGCTGACTTGATACAGCGATCTTCTGTGCCATTATTTTCTAAAATAACTTGTATATTTCCCTAACTTCAAAAGAAATTCATGATCCGTGGGGAAAAGTTAAACGAGCGTAGGAAAGCATAAAAGAGAAAAATTAACCCTACCACCTAGAGATGACCACTGTTGAAGTTCTTTCTGTTTGTTTTTGTTTAATCCTGGGCCGACTCTGAACATTTTCTCAGGGCTAAGGGAGCTTTCTTTTCATGGAATGTTGAATTGTTGGAAGTCAGAGCAGGGGTGACTTTGAAATCATCCACCTGCTTCTTTACGTAGAGTTGAGGACCCAGGTCTGGAGGTACTGACTTGCACCTTGACACACAGTCGACAGTGACTGAGGCAGGACTCAGGTCCAGCTCCTGGTTCGCTGGTTCAGAGGCCGTATCCTGGGTCCTGCCAGCCTGCCCAGCTCAGTTGGCTGTCCGGCCTTCTTGAGGACATCCATACCTTTGAGACATGGACCAAGCCCATGGAGAGAGCCCTGGGAAGGCTTCCTGGGCAGACCAGGCAGAAAGTGGGTAGGTCTTTGCTGTTGCAAGAGGTGGATGCTTCTCACCTGGTGGCATATGCATCCCTGCTGCTTGTGCTGCCTTGGCAACCTTTAAAGCATTGTCCCTGCTGAGAGGGGTGTGGCTGACACCCAAGATTCCTTCTGATGTGGGAGAGAGGTTTCCATCTCATTCTACTCCTGTTTTCTCAGGTGGGGCTGTGGGCTGCTCACTCCACCCCTGATTACAGGGTAGGCATTAGGAGTGCAGGCCCTGGAGTCAGAATACTTGTGTCCCAGCTCTACCACTTGCTACTCTTAGGACCTTGGCTAAACCATTTAACCTCCACCTTAGTTTCCTCATATGTAAAACAGGGAAATAATAGTACCTAAGGAGGTTTGAGACACATAGTGAATGCTAGAGATGTTTGCCATTATCCGCTATGAGTCTGTGTCCTTTCTTCCTTCTCCTGAGCTTTGTCTTCTCCACCTTTCCCTCTTCCCATCAATATGTGATGACCTTTAGCTGATTTCATAGGGTTGATGGAGTTTACACCCCCGAGTTTCTTGTCTGTCCCCATCTCCCAGGCGTCAAACTTCCCTCCTTCTCCGCAGCCTCAGGGCGGTCCCTCTGCTTTGGGGGCCCACCCCCTCCCCAGCCAGCCCAGACCAGGCTCCTTTCTGGGTCCTCCCCACCCACGGTGCCTTTATGTCTCACTTGCCCTCTCTTGATGTCCTTCCCCATCCCAGTCAAACCTGCCTTGTTGAAAGGATTTGTCGTTAGTCATTTATACCTCTCTGCGCGATTAGTCACCAAGTTATGCCTTCCAAAACGAGATGCACTTTAAGTCTTGTTAAAAGAAACTTCAAGAGAGGGGACCGTACTCTCCCCGCTGGTGTCAGCACTGGTGTTTCACCGTCTTCCCCAGTGGTGAGTCCCGTCTCCTTGGTAACCCGCTCAGCACCACCACTGTCCTCCTCCCTCATCTCTTCCTCGCTCTGTTGAAGTGGGCGGTGCACCTGCCTCTGTCTCCTGGCCTGTGGGGCCTCCGGCTGCAGCCAGCTTCTCCCCCATTTCCCTCATGCCCTCCGACCGTGTCACCGCTTCCCGCAGGATCGTCTCGCCTCACGTGGGCTCCCCACTTTCCAAGGGCGTCTGAGCTCCACTGGTCCAACCGCGCACCGGTTGTTCCCGCACCCGTTCGTGGTTCAGCGCTTGGAGGTGGGCGAACCTGCCTTTGAACTCTGGCGCCGCCCCCTCCAGTGTGTAAGCTCCACTTCCTTCAGCTCTAATGAAGGAAGAAGAATAGTACCAACCCGGTTGTATTGTCATGAGAGGTAGACAGGTGTTGGGGAAGGCTTAACTGTGGTGCGGGGCATAGGGTCAGTGCTCCATAAATGGCTGCTGTGACTAATAATACCAGTGCTAATAATGAACAGTGACACTTACTCTCTCTCTCTGACTTCCTCAGACCATAGGTTATGACCCCATCATTTCGCCAGAGGTCTCGGCCTCCTTCGGTGTGCAGCAGGTGCCCTTGGAGGAGATCTGGCCTCTCTGTGACTTTATCACTGTGCACACACCTCTCCTGCCTTCCACCACAGGTAGGTGTGCCCCTACCTTGTGGGTTGGCCACAGAAGCCACAGACCAGATAAGGGTAGGCCCTCAGTCTGGCCTTTCCGCCTATGCTGGGGACCAGCTGTGGCGGTGGCCCATTCAGATCCTGTGAGCATGGAGCACGGTGATGTTTTGTTACATGGCCTTGCATCAGACCAAGGAGGGGTGAGTTAGGTAGAAATGCACAGGGTCTGGGTGGGCTGGGTCAACATGTAGGACCAGCGAACCCATGAGTACTTCCTGGGACCACTGCCGGCAGCACTAATGTCTCGGGGATATTTGGGATGTTTCTAAACTGAGTCTGGTCCAAATCCATGACAAGATCTCCTGCCCCAGAGCATCTGAGAAGGGAGCAGTGAGACCAGAAAGACCGTGGTCCCCCGGAAAGGAGGTGTGTGGGGAAGAGCTGGTGGGAGGGAGAGAGGGCCTTTGGAGCCAGTGCGGTGGCCATGGAGCCGGTGCGGTTGCCAGTGCAGTGGGGAGAGCACGGAGATCCCCACACCAGTGCCCCAGGAAAGCTCCTCCCTCCGTTCCAGGCCTGCTGAACGACAGCACCTTTGCCCAGTGCAAGAAGGGGGTGCGTGTGGTGAACTGTGCTCGCGGAGGGATTGTGGACGAAGGCGCCCTGCTCCGGGCCCTGCAGTCGGGTCAGTGTGCTGGAGCTGCGCTGGACGTTTTCACAGAGGTGAGTCCCTGCTCAGTGCTGGTGGAGAGGGGAGACCAGAGCAGAGGGACTTGGGCTGCAAGCCCAGCTGTGCAAAGACCTTGAGCTTCCTGTCTCTAGCGGGAGAAATTGTGTCGCCAAAAGTAACACATCTGTGGTTTGAGGAGCCCAGTGCAGAGCCTGGTACAGAGGCAGCCGTGCTGTCTTCTGTAAAACTCAGAGTTTATATAGGATGCATTCCTGGGCTTGGGCTCCTGGACGGCTACCCTGTTGATAAGTTCAGAGGAAGACAGAGCAGCAGATCAGTTCTGAGGCGGAGGATTTGGGGCAGGCAGAGAGGGGTTTAAGGTATTGATACAGATCTCTGGTGAAATGAATCCCACTGCCAAGAAGACATTCCACCCAGTGTATGTTGGCTTTCCTTTCCCTTCCTCTCTTCCCGCAGAGGGAAGGAAGCCGAGGATACTGGTTAGACGTGTTCCCCTGGTCCCAGAGGCTGCTGTCCCTAGGTCTCTGTGCAGGAGCAGAGATATAGCATCTGCTCACCCACTGCCCCCATCCTGCCCTCACACCCGATAGCATTTCCACTGGAATCCTGTCCACCTCTCTTAAAAATCCCACCTCAGCGTCGGAGATCGGGGAGAAAGCACGGGCTTTGGATTAGGCAGCGGGGGTTTGCTGGTTACCAGCTTTGCGGCCTTGGCAAGACCCTGGCCCTCTGACCCCCCGTAGCACTCAGTGTCTGTTCCCTGCCCAGGGCACAGCGTGCGTTGGGTTTGTGGTCCTGGCCATCTCTCTCAGCTACATCGTCAGCTCCTTGAAGGCAAGGGTGTGCCTGGCCCTTGTTTATGTCGCCGTCTCCCTAACACAGCACCTCCCCCCGCTCTCTTTGGCCTCCCCATGACACTTACTACTCTGCGGCCGGCACTCACAGACCTATGTGGCCAAATCCCGTGGGAGCCGATAGAGTCCTGGGGAGAATGCAGAAGAGAGGAGGCCTAAGTAACAGGCCCAAGGCCCCTGTATTGTGCCCGGTGAGCAGAAGGGGTGGCAGGGGCACTGGAGGGTGGGGTAGGGGTGGCCAGGTGGGCCGCCTGTCCTGGTGAGAGCCAGGATGCGACACCCGTGTGGAATGCCCTCAAAGAGCCTGCCTCTGTGCTAAGAGCTGACAGGAAGTGCTGAGGGGTGGACTGGACTCGGGGCAGGGGCTAGAGGGGAAAATCCAATATCAGCTATACCAGCTACTACTGGTTGAGAACCTCCTTTATTACTGCATAATCTCCATAATAGTGTTAGGAGGTAGGTAGTAGTAACCCATTTTATAGATAGGGAAACTGAGGCTCAGAGAGATGGAGATTTTGCCCAAAAGCACATAGGTAGTAAGTGGTGGAGCTGAGATTGGAATCCGGTCTACAGCTCTGTCTACTCTGCTGTGATGGAACATTCATGAAGAAGACGGTTATTATTGAGTCCAGTGACCACCCAGACAAAACGGAAGTAGGAGGCAGCATCACCCCTGCCCTCTTCCCCTCCAACTCCCTGGGGCCATCTGAAGCAGCCCACCTAGAGGTGTCTCTTTCTGGGCAGGAGCCACCCCGGGACCGGGCCTTGGTGGACCACGAGAACGTCATCAGCTGCCCCCACCTGGGCGCCAGTACCAAGGAGGCCCAGAGCCGCTGCGGGGAGGAAATTGCCGTCCAGTTCGTGGACATGGTGAAGGGGAAATCTCTGGCGGGAGTAGTAAGTACGCCATGTGGGGCTGCGCCCGGAGGTCAGAGGGAGGAGTCGCAGAAGGGTGTGTTGTCGCTGGGACCAGATTCAGCCCTGGGAGCCGAAGATAAGGGACTGTACTTGAGCCAGCGGCGCTGGGTGGGGTGGCAGGAGCTGCCCCTGCTTAGCCTTGAGAGCTGAGGCCCGGCAGCAAGGAGCCAGCTCAGCTTGTTTATATTGTAGGCTCACTGCTGAGATTGTGTTTTTTCCCAGTGCCTCTGGAGAAAGGCTCCTTTGTTCTCCACAGGCCTTGGGAGTGAAGGAGTGTGGCTGGCATGATGGCGGAATGCCCGAGGTAGGGGCAGGTGGGGGACGGCCTGTGGAGAAAGCCCTGAGAGGGCGTTCTCACCTCGTGACCCCGAGCGCTCCCCTTTCATCCCATCTCTCTTAGGACCCTGAGCAGGGATGCCCTACCCAGAAGCCTGCACCCATCTTCCCCATAGGAACCCTCCAAGCCAGCTGGCCCCCTTTCTTTCCCCCAAATCCTGGTTTCTTGACTGTGTTCACAGTGGGCCCTTCCCGGTATGTGTTCTTCTTCCAAGCTGAACCTGACTTATACTTCAAGTCCTGTCTCATTCACTCAGTCTTCAGATGGTCCCTAAGCCCCAGTGGGTACCAGATACTGTCAGAGCCCTTTGGGGATGTGGAGGTGAACAAGGAAGGCATAGCTGTCCATCAAGGGGCTTGCGTGCCACCTGCCCCTTCACGAAGACTTGCTTGGCCTTTCTAGCTCCATCCCAACCCTTTTGCAGTGAGCCACATTCTCTCCTATTATTGACGTTTCATGAGTTTATATCTTAGTTCTTAATTAAATTCTAAGTTCTCAGAGGACAAACAACAGAAAAGAAAACACCACCAAAACCAAAAGGATGTAAGCTTCTCTGCAGTTCATGTGGCTCTGCCTGGAGCATTTAACCAATAATGAATGAGAGTTGGGGCGCGGCTGGGGGGTAGTCCCTGACCCTCCTGGCTGACCCTCAACACAGGCATTTTCGCTTCTGAGGACAGAACTGCGGCAGGAGAGACACAGGATGCTTTGTTCAACCCTGCCAGCCCTGGTTTAAGAGCCCAGGCCACTGTGGCCTCTACACCCTGAGAAAGTAGAGGAGCCTCCTGCTGTCCCGTAGGAGGGCTCCTCGGGGGCAGCCTTCGCAGGTGCAACGGGCAGGCTGGGACAGCCTGGCAGTGGCCACAGCTCGGTGGTCAACAAAGACACATCCACATCCACGTCTGCACCCTCTCTCTGCGCTGTGTCTGTGCGCTTCTCAAGACGGGGCACGCTTTCTCACTCCCTTTGCATGCCGTGGGCTTCTGAGCAGTTCATTCCTCCCCCCGTGAGGCTGGAGGGGACCCAGGCGAGGTTTGGGCCACCGTGACCATTGCCACCCAGTCTGGGCTGGGCTTTTCTTTTTTCTGTCCACTCACAAGGCAGGGTCCAGCCCTCAGCGGTGCAGCCCTTATGAGTTATTCAGGGAGTGGTGGCATTCCAGGCCTTTTCATGACGGGGACTCAACACCAGCTCCGTCAAATGGGCCCACAAAATGTCCCCTTCTTACCTAAGAGGTCACATCTCCTAGTCAAATTGTTAAACTTAGGCAAATTGAACTCTCCAGCCACAATGGCCGGTGGGGTAGAGCAGGCATTTGTAAGAAAGACATATTTGTCACATGGGAAACTCCTCTGTCCCTCATTCTTTACCGGGTCCTCTCCAGTTCTGCTCTAACGTGAGGCACAGACTAGCATTAGGGTCAGGTTGGCGCCCCAGTGCATTGGCTCTTCCTGGAGGCTCCCACTCATCTTCTAGAGAAGACAGACGCTCCTTTTACTCAGCAGACCTGGGGGAAGCACCGCCCTGGCCTGTGCAGGCACCTGACCAAGCGTGACGCCTGCCTTTGGGGCTTCTCAGTTGAGCACTTTCCTGCTGCCTGCTGCAGGCTTTCACACCCCAGCTGTGGCCTGGCCCTTCAGTTCTCCCCCTGCAGCTCTGGGACTCACTGCCCTTTCTGTGCCCTTCGGAGAGGATCAAAGGGGACCCGGCCGCAGGATGCGATCACACCAGGATGCCCCTTACACAGAAGGGTCTGCTGGGGGTCCCGCCTCCTTGGTTGTTTCTGTCATCACAAGTCTCTCTTAATTCTCTGCCAGTTGTGTCTTTATGAAAACAGGAATAGAAGCGTCCGTGTTTTCTTTTCATTACATCTTAGAGCTGCCTGATTTGCATCCAACCCGGGTTTCTTTTTTTTTTTTTTTTGCGTTACGCGGGCCTCTCACTGCTGTGGCCTCTCCCGTTGTGGAGCACAGGCTCCAGACGCGCAGGTTCAGCGGCCATGGCTCACGGACCCAGCCTCTCCGCGGCACGCGGGATCCTCCCGGATCGGGGCACGAACCCGTGTCCCCTGAATCAGCAGGCGGACTCTCAACCACTGCGCCACCAGGGAAGCCCCCAACCCGGGTTTCTAATTGAATCCTTCTTAGATGGTTCTCTTTACAAGTTGCCTCAGCATAAGTGGCCAGATACTTAACTCAGAGCCACAAGATGGAATAGACATTTTGACACAGAACAAGCTGGTTTTCGTTATCAAGCCCCTGCTGGGGGTCCAGCCAGCCAGACCGTAGACTTACAACGTCAGAAGATTACGTGGCTTCTGCCTTCTTCAACTGCCTAGCAGGCCTGTGGTGGACTTCACAGGAGTCAACTTTTAAAGAGTGATAGGATCATCAGAAGTGTATGAATCCAGGGAGTTCCCTGGTGGTCTAGTGTTTAGGATTCTGCGCTTTCACTGCCATGGCCTGGGTTCAATCCCTGGTTGGGGAACTGAGATTCCACAAGCTGCGGCATGACCAAAAAAACAAAAAAAAGGTATATAAATCCAGCCTTACAAATTGTGATTTTTTTTTTTTTGCGGTACGCGGGCCTCTCACTGTTGTGGCCTCTCCTGTTGCGAAGCACAGGCTCCGGACGCACAGGCTCAGCGGCCATGGCTCACGGGCCCAGCCGCTCCGCGGCATGTGGGATCTTCCCGGACCAGGGCACGAACCCATGTCTCCTGCGTCGGCAGGTGGACTCTCAACCACTGTGCCACCAGGGAAGCCCTCCCCATACGTTTTATGTCAAAGACCCATCTTCCTTCCCCAGCACAGGAGAAACAAGTCTCCGGTGGAGTGGGCTGGGGGCGCTGGCACATGTTCAGAGAAGAGGGAGATGTCCTCTTCCCCATCTTCCCACTGCCTTCTGGCAGTTGGAGTGGTCTTAGCCTTCTGTGCCCTCTTCTGGCTCTATAGCTCTCCTCAGCTGTGGGAACACGTTGTTGTCACCTCGTTGCTGGCTAGTGGAGGTTATCACCCCCCAGGCACCCAAAGCAAGGGTGGCCCCATGCCACCTGCTCTCCACGTGGAGCTGAGTCTCAGCAGTAAGACCTTGCTTGGGGGCCAAGTTGGGCAGGTGTGCCCTGTCCCGTCCCTTCCTGACCTCTGCCCTGCTCCCCTGTCTCTGCAGGTAAACGCCCAGGCCCTCACCAGTGCCTTCTCTCCACACACCAAGCCTTGGATTGGTCTGGCAGAAGCTCTTGGGGCACTGATGCAAGCCTGGGCTGGGTCCCCCAAAGGGACCATTCAGGTGGTAACACAGGGTAAGCCGGGAACTCTGCAGAGGGAGAGGGAAGAGGGGCATGGACTCGGCACCCCACCGGGCGTGTCTGCTGCAGGCACAGACCAGTGAGGGACGCAGAGGTGACCCCGCTCTCGTGACTCCGCGCTTCATGTTTGGTCTGAGTATGGCTTGCTTGCTACTGACGAGGATGAGTACAAAAAGTTACTGGGAGATATACTTAATTTTCGTAAATCACGTTGATGCAGTCTTTTTAAGACATGCATGTTTGGGATGCAAGAGGGACCTCCGTAAGATTTGGAATTTCACGTGCGAGGCAGTAGGATTGGTGGAGGGAGTCCGGGTGAAGCAACAGAACATTTTATTCTGGTTTTGACCCTGTTGCTTACCTGCTGTGGGACTTTTCCTTCTCTGAGCTGTGAGTTCTTCACCTGTGAAGTGAAAGCCGGGGCGGGGGTGTCAGACGAGGCAGGCGGCGAGGACATTTTGTGCTCTGACATCCTCAGGTGGGCCCTCGGGCAGGCTGATGCCCGCAGGGGCATTTGCTCCGCAGTCCCCGCTGTCTGCCCCTCTGCAGGCTCTGGCCGCCTGTGCAGTGGGTCCAGCCCTGTGCAGGCGTGGTTGAGAGACCAGGGAGGGCTCCGGTCCCCTGACCCCTGCAGGGGCTTGTCCTCCCCGTTGACCATTGGGCATCCCCTCCCTTGGGGAGAGACTGGAGTGGAGGCAGGTAGAACCTGAGCATTGCAGGTACCAGGCAGGGGCAGAGCCGGGGGCCTCGCTGGCCGGGGTGCCGAGGCCTCAAGGAGACAAGACAGGGGAGTGGGCCCAGCTGCTTTAGTCGCCCCTTCCTGCTTCCATTTCCCGAGGCTGGCAAGGGCCTGAGTGCCGGGTAGGGCTGAGGGTAGGATAATTTTCAAGTGTCCTTTTGGGGAAGGACAGGCAGGCCAGGGCGGACAGGCCAGGGGCAGGTGTGCGGGGCAGCAGAGTTAGGCCGGGTTCTGGAGAAGAGCTTCTTAAACTGGTGTAGAGCATCCCCGGTGTCCTGTCCTGGACCCCCCGTGTGTCCCCCACCCCGGCCACCTCTCTGCCTGCAGAGGAAAGCAGAACCGCCTGGCAGGCTGGAGTTGGGCCCCCAGGTCAGTGAGGAGCTGTGACCCAGAGCTCGGGGCCAGTGATGTGCTGCCCACCCCCTTGTTGTTCTACACACAGTGGCCTTACGGTGGCTTCTCTGGGTCCCCAGGATTGTCCCTGAAAAACTCTGGGAACTGCCTGACCCCCGCCGTCATCGTTGGCCTCCTGAAGGATGCTTCCCGTCAGGTGGAGGTGAACCTGGTGAATGCCAAGCTGCTGGTGAAAGAGTCCGGCCTCGATGTGCGCACCCCTCCCCTCCCCTCCCCTCCTCTCCATCCCCTCCATCCCGGGTCAGCACTGCTTTTCTCGCCTGCGTTCAGAGCACCTTGCAGCTCTGCTCCCCGAGCGGGAGCCCTGGGCGCCAGTCCTGCAGGTGACAGTGTCTGCCTGTGAGAAGTAGCTGTGATCTCTTCACTTGCAGAGTGCAGATACCACCGGCCCCGAGCATCGCTATGAGTGAACTAATACTCGTGAAAGTGCTTTGTGTATAAGTGCTCTGTGAGTGGGAGGGGCAGCAGTAGCCCCACTTCACAGCTGAGGAAATCGAGGAGCCCGGCTGGGAGCTGGGAGATAGCCCGGCGTGCTCGGCCCCGATTCTCCAACCAGTGCCCCTTTACCACGGCACCCGGGTTCCTGGTTAGTCTGCAGACTCCGGGAGCTCGCCACACATCCTCTTAGCCTCTGCCGCCCCTCGTGGCTTCCCCATCTGCCCTCTCCCCCCCGCCGAGCCCTGATTTGCTGAGCGTGGCGTGGCCGCAGCACTGAAGCCCTATAAATTGGCGATTAGGCCTAGGGAGGGGATGGGCGTCACTGTGCCTTTTTGCCTTCTCTCTGCAGGTAACCACTTCCCACAGCCCTGCTGCACCAGGGGAGCAGGGCTGCGGGAAATGCCTCCTGACCGTGGCCCTGGCAGGTGCCCCCTACCAGGCTGTGGGCTGGGTCCAGGGCACCACGCCTGTGCTGCAGGCACTCAACGGAGCTGTCTTCAGACCAGAGGTGCCTCTCCACCGGGGCCTGCCGCTGCTCATGTTCAGGACTCACCCCTCCAACCCTGCGATGCTGCCGACCATGATTGGTGAGGAGGGACCTGTCGGGCCAGCCGGTGCCCTTGAGGCAGCGGTGGGTGTGTGTTGAGGGCTCTGTCCTGGGACTGGGCTCCGTGGACTTTTGCCTCCTTCGGCCCCTCTCCATGCCTGCCGGCATCACTGGATCTGCAGCAGGTTCCAGGACATTTGGGGAGCCGGTATGGAGTTCTGAGGTTAAGTGCCTTATCTAAGGTCGTCGAGCGGTGCGTCAGGGCTAGGGCCCCAGAGCCCCTATTGATAGGCAGGTGCTCACCACAGCAAGGACACAGTTGAGAACTGCCTGTAGAGCTGTATCCCAGGAGCTCAGAATTAAGTTGCAGGTTTCCTTCTGACCGCAGGCCCGGTGGTGGCCAGCCTGATCCAACAAAGCATGTCAGGGCATCCCCTCCAGATGTCGTGGGCATCTTGGATCTGCTCCTGTCCCCTGGCGCTCGGGCTCCTGGGAGTTCGGAGCACTTCCAAGTATGGCAGAGAGTGTGTGTCCACAGGCCTCCAAGGGCCTAATTTCACTATCGTTGCCAGCTGCCCAGGGGAACTTTCCCCTGCTTTTCCCCTTTGCTGATGGTCTGGGTAAAACTGGCAGCCAGCAGGTCCAGCTCTGGCTCTTTGTGGTTGATCTTCCCTCCCCTGCCTTGCCTGATGGCCAGGGTGTTCCTAAAGCCTGCAGAATAGCGAGGGACCTGGGCAGAGCCCTTTGTTCCCTGTCTCAGCGCTTTGATTCTGAGACCATCACCCCCGTTGCAACATTGATCTTGGGAACTCAAGTCTTGTGAGCCTGCTCCCAGCCTCTTGCTTCTCCTTCCCCCCAGCCCTGTGCCAACCAGGGGTTTCTTCTACTTCCAGGCCTCCTGGCAGAGTCGGAGGTGCAGCTGCTGTCCTACCAGACCTCGATGGTGTCGGATGGGGAGACCTGGCACGTCATGGGCATCTCCTCCCTGCTGCCCAGCCTGGAGCCCTGGAAGCAGCACGCGACCGAGGCTTTCCAGTTCCACTTCTAACCTTGGGCTCACTTGTCCCAGCCTCGTGGGATTTTCTGAAGAAACACACCCACTGGGAGAGGAGAGCCACATTCCTGGGGCTGACGCTGCTTGTGTCTCATCTGACCCCTGTCGTACAGCAATAACCACCCAATAAAGAGCCTACCCCGTACTCTTCCGGGCACCTTTGTGTTGTCATTACCCTGAAGAGCCACCAGAGGGCATCCGCAGGCAGCCGTGGGGTTAGATGCTCTGCCTTGGAGGAGTAGGATTAAAGCTCAGACTGCTCCCACAGAAGTCTCCATCTGCTGGGGGGACAGAGCGCACAGGGGTCACTGGAAGCAGTGAGGAAAGTGCCACAACAGGTGTATATGAATTCTGTTGTGAGCAGCGGAGGAAGTCATTAGAGCTGTGGATGGTGGTTCCCAGGAGATAGTTGGAAAGATTTCATAAGGGGAAGAAAGTGTGAGTAAAGGCACAGGGCCTGAGGATGTTTGATGAGTTCACAAAGCCAGCTCAGTAGGGGCTGGGCAGTATATTACTTGATTTTTTTTTTAAAGATGATTTTCACAAAACATGGCAGAATGGTATTCCTGCATCCTAAGGGTTTCACCTTTTGAGGGTTTTTTACTCCATCTGTAGGGGATGACCCATTCCTACCTTATGCCCAGCAGCATCTGTTTCGGAGACAAGGCAGGCTAAGAAGGCCCGGCACCGGGCAGCTCATTGACAGTGGCAGGAGCAAACCCGTCACTGTGGCCTCAGAGCTGCGACTGAACCGAAGGTCGGTGGAAGCTCCACCAGTAACCGCTCACTGTGCTGACCTCAGCTGTGAGCTCATAACATGTATTAGGGCCTTGCAGGAGCAGACCTGGAAGGGGATGGGCCTGAACTCGAACAGCAAGGGGGCTTTGAGCTGCTTTGACCTTGAGCACAGTGCTTAATTCCCCTAAGCCTTTGTTCCCTCATCAGTAAGAGGGATAAGGACGCCTCTCAGGATTGAATGGCTTAAAAAAGTGGTGTATGGGAAGTGCCCGAGGCCCTTGGTCTCTTCATCCCTATGTCTTTCTTTAAGAGCAGACGACCAGGTCTCAGTCGCTTACATAGAATCCCTGCTCCAAACGGCCCTCCCTTTGCCCTTGAGGTAATGTTCTTTCAGATCTGGACGTGGGGTGTCCTGACATCAGACAGCCCGTTCTCTCTGCCTGGAAAGAGATCAAGAAGCATCTGGTGGGGGTCGGGGGTGGGGGCGGTGGGTGCTGGAGCCCATCGATAGCTAGAAAAGTAGGCTGAGATTGATCAGTTAAAAATTGAGCTCAATCTTCCGCCGCCCAGCCTCTTCTCAGAAGCCCCTAGACAAACCATATTCTGTGCTCTAAGGTGGTCAAAACAATTCTAGAAACCCCAATTACTTGAGCATCCCCAAATATCTTCCTACACGTGGGTAGGTTTTGAAGGCATGGGACACATTCACTGTATCACCCTGTCCTGCGGCTGCCCACGTAAACTCTCCTAAATTTAAAAGGGCAAGATTAAGTTTAAGATCCAGCTGGTGCTGTTTACTCCTTCGCATTTCTCTGTGGTTTGTGGCATCTCTGCACCGCCTAACTTTAGAGTGGAATTTCCTTCTTGTGTGTCTTGGCTGGGAAGCAGAAGTTTTGCTGAAAGCTCAGTGAGGGAGGCAGACGAATAGTGGGACAGGAGGGAACTGGCCTCCGAATGCTGGCTCCTGGGACTCTGAGATTCAGAAACGTACGTAAGTACGTACATGTGTGTGTGTGTGCGTGTGCGTGTGTGTGTGTGTGTGTGTGTTTAGTATGTCCCCTGGAGACCAGAAGTTGCCTCATGGTCAGTGGGCTGGACCACTCTCCACATCTGTGTCAATATACTGTGACATGTTGGTATTCTAGCTTGAGCTGCGTTAACAGGCCTCAATGCCTTTATCAAGTCATCACTCCGTCCTCTCCTGCTGTAGGTTGTCCTGGGTGATTTTTTGCCCACATAGGTAAGTTCTTTATCTGCATGATTGTAGCCTACCTTAGGGTGAAAATGGTGACCGGGCAACTGGAAAATCATTCCCTCATATGCTGACCTTAAACAGGGGGAGAGGGCTCTGTTCAGAGCCAGCAGGAGTCAGTTTTAATGAATTAGATGCCAGAAGTACCAGAGGAAGTCCTAGGGCTTAGTATCAAGGTCAGTGAAGAGGGGGAGAGGAAGGGGCTGGAAACCTCTGTGCAGTGGTGACAATGACCAGTGCCCTCCTGGGTGCCCTGCAGCTGAACCAGGGCTCATATTCTGCCGGCGTGCACGGTATGGGCAGCACCTTGATAGTCTCATTAAATATTTTTAATATCACCCCCACATAGGGTCCAAATGGCTCGCAAGTGGCAGCAGGCCTGGCTGCGGCATTCGGTGACACAGAAGGTCCTGGTTGCTCAGGCCACAAAGACCCCCCAGCAAACTATGTGGATAGAATCCAGGGTCCGGAGTCTCCTGCCTCAAGAACTCAGGTGATTATGGTACTAAGTGAAGTAAGTCAGACAGAGAAAGACAAATATCATACGACATTTCTTTTATGCAGAATCTGCAAAACAAAAAAATGACACAGATGAACTTATTTACAAAACAGAAACAGACTCAGAGACTAAGAGAATGAACTTACGGTTACCAGGGGGGAAGGATGGGAGGGAGGGATAGATTGGGAGTTTGGGATTGACACGTAAACACTGCTGTATTTAAAATAGGTAAACAACAGGGACCTATTGTATAGCCCAGGGAACTCTGCTCAATATTCTGTAATAACCTAAATGGGAAGAGATTTGAAAAAGAATAGATACATGGATACGTATAACTGAATCACTTTGCTCTACACCTGAAAATAACACAACACTGTTAATCGACTCTGCTCCAATATAAAATAAAAATTAAAAAAAAAAAAGAACTCAGGTGAATAAGAGCTTTGCTCCCACGACTACAGACACTACTCCAGAGATCCTAGGAAAGGCATACATTGTCCTGCCAGGGCTGCCAACTAGACTGAGGGCCCCCAAACAGCTTGCTGAGGAGGAGTAGGCAATGGGGGTCAGCCAAGGGGGATGCTGGGTGGCAGCTACAGCTGGTGTAAGAGAACAAGAGTTCAGCAAGCACCTGGAGAGGGCCTGGGAAGGGAGTCAGCTGATGCAAGATTAGCGCTCTCGCAGGGCTTTATCTCGGATTTTCTGGTGCCTGTTGTGAGTCGAACAGCCCGGAGCAAGCAGTGAAGTGGGCAGGCCCAGCACCTCATCTCCCAGTGCCCAGTGTCCTGTTATCCCTAGGGCGGCCTGCCCACGCCTGCCCTCCTCCCCACTGACAGAAGCCATCCTCCCTCCTCCAAAGTGCCCCTTTCCTGCTGGGGTGGCAGAGGAAACTTTCTACAAGTACATAAGTTAATAACTGAAATAAGTTCATGCCCCTGAACTATTGCTGTTTTACAAGAAGAGCAGTGCTCTAGCTCAAGAGGGAAAAACCATCCTCTAAGGGAAGAGTTTCCTGCTAGGGATTGAAACAATGTTTTTGGCTGCAGGAGCCCAAAACATAACCTATTCACTTCTGCCCTGTGCTCACTTGTGCCGGTAACACCAACAAGGCACGGGACCAAGGAGCTTTGATCCTCATATCCTGAAGTCATTTCTGGCCCCTGTCTGCTGGCTCTGTAAGGTGTCTGTAAGGTGTCTTACGATCAGGGAAGGAAGCTGGGGGTGGAGGCTGTGTTTCACCCTTTGTTCCCCCTGTACCTGTCAGAGAATGGAATTGGAAGGGAGAGAGGGAGGGTGTGAGGTGAGTGTTCGGCAAGTTCACTGCTGTGGGCGTACATGCGCGTGGGGAGAGTGGGACCTCAGAGCCAGGAGGGCCAGCAGGTTTCTCTGCGTGACAGCTGCTGCACTGGTTGTGTTCTGGTTTCCAAGAAATATGGGGGTTATTCCCTCCTTCCCTACTTTTTAATTGTGTTCTATTAGTTTAGTACCAAACCTAAAATTTAGAAATTCACAGAAAACCCTACGAAACAAAGAAAGAACTAACAGCACAGAAATTTAATAATAACAATAACAACAAGGCTATAACAAATGAGAGGCAAGCTATCTGGATCTTGCGGGAGACAACGGATCTGCCCCATTTCCGGTCTGTGATTCAAGGCTGAGCCTTCCCTCCATCCCTCCATCTCCCTTTTCACAAAGGGCTCCTCTAGCACCACAAGCCCATGACAGTGACTACAGCAGGGAAAGGCATGAAGGACCCCCTAAGGATGGCCCCTCACTCTACAAGGCCAGTGCTTTTGGGGGCTGCTGTGTCCAATCCAATCTATTTACCAGCTAAGAGTGGGGGACATTTACACGATCGAGAGAGGGCAGAAATTCTATAGCGTACTTTTTCAAGGAACCTCTCCACAGATAAAGAAACAAAAGAAGGACATTCAATCATGAGTCTCACCCTGGGCATCCCCCCTTTCCCCATACCTGCTCCTTACCCGAGGCAGGCTCTCCTAAAGATACCCCGAGGTCTAGGGCGTTCCACTGCCCTTCCAGCAACAAACTGGACGCCTGAGGGCCCTGAGCCCAATATCATGGGAGCCAAGGCTGGGAGGTGGGCAGGGTCCCCATGACACATCCTGTCTGTGATGGGAAAACAGGCTGGGCAGTGCAGAGGCAGAGCTCCGCAGAGCACTGCACTGACATACAATCTTTATTTCAGCTAACATCTCAGTGGTGTAGGTTCATTGCTCCTGTGAGACAAGGATGAGGCCCAGCTTTTCTTTTCTTGGTGCAATGCTGCTTAAGCATGTGGACCAGGAGAGGGAGGGAACCTGATTTGGAAACTCTCCCTTGAAAAATCCCAATTCTCTCTCTCTTTCTCTGTCTCTTCTTTCTCCTCTCTCTCTCTCTCTCTCTCTCTCTCTGCTTCTGATGACTGAACTAGCTTGACACATTTAATGGCCCCCTCTTTGCCACTGACTTGCCCTTAACAACCATATTACAAACAGACAACAGATAAGCAAACAAACAGATGACTCCCTGGTAGCGCCAAAGTCTGATGAGTCTGCTTAAGGAGACTGCCGTTCTCAACCATACCCTGCAGCCTGGCCGGTCGGCCCCCTTTCCAACCTCGCTTACCTCCTAACATCCCAGAGGCACACTT